TGTGTTTTTATTGCTACAGAATGAGCCAGAAACCATTCAAAACCTTTAAAAAGTCTTTTTAAATAGTCCGAATGAGGTTACAGTGTTGGCTGCCTGGCAAACACAACAGGCATTTCAAGTGGGAAAGAACAGTCCCTTATTGCATCTGCTGCTGGCATTTAGGGCACCCTGATCACTAACAATTCCCCAGCTCCAATGCTCAGCATCCTGCAGGCTGGGCAGAACCATAGGGAGCAAGGGGAGAGGAGAAAGGGGCTAGGTGAAAGGAAAGCCTGGGTTGAGAGTTAGCTGGAAATTTTCATTACAACTCATCAGAAAATGCTCATTTTTCACTTAAAGAGTCACAGAAATGCCCTGGTTTCCAACACCTGCCAGTGAAACATAAGCTGGGTTCCACCAGCAAACCCTGCCCAGATCTGCCTGTGTTCCACCTCACCTCAGGTGTCCAGGTCTGGCACCCTGGACTTTATAGAAACCAGAGCTTTTGATAAACTGCTCTGGAATTGCCTTCTGAACAGTGCTGGTGTCCCTGGGACAGACCTTAAACCCAGTGCAACCCTCCCTCCACCCAAGGTCATGGCTATTGATACCCCATCCCAGCCTCTCCTTGGCACCACCACCATCACCAACCCAGCTGCTGGCAGGAAGCCTCAAGCAGCATGGTAGACGGGAGGAACTCAGACTAGATGCTTCTGGTGTTCTGGGGCCTTTACTTCCCCATTCTGGGCAATAGAAGGCCCATCACTTCTCCACCAGCTGGTAAGGGCTGCTTAGGGAAAATGCATAAATATCAGAGCCAAGCTCCCTGTCCTTCCTTGGCATAACTTCTAGAAGCTGCGAGTTTCCTCAGGACACTGAAGGAAGGCAAAGAGCAAAGATGATGGTCAGGAAAGCACTGCAGAAAGGCTGAATAGAATAATTTAAAGGTATTATTAATAATGATGGCAATTACAGTACTAGAAAGCTCAGTGGTTTTTCATACAGGGCTGAAAAGGGAAGAGGAACAAACCCAAGCAACTTCCACAAGAATGCAAGAGAAGCAGTAACGCGCTGTGGAAACCAAACAAGATCAGCGTCCAGAAGCAGCAAGCCAAATCCTCTTCTTCACTAAACCAGCACAGGGCCCCTGGAGCTCAGGGGCTGGAGGAGAACCAAGGCTACCTCCTTCTGACCAGGGCAGAGGATATTAAAGCTGAGCTTTCCAAACACCTTTTGGGAAGTCAGCTCAAAATCACTGCAATTAAATAAGCCAAGGCATTCCCCCGAGGCTGTGCAAGAATTTGTGCTCTGTTCTGCTGAGCTGCTCTCCCAAGAGCCACCAAAACAAGTGTCACCCACCTATCACACCCCTACGTGTGTTCGCACTTCCCTACGCGCCATCAAGCCATCGGCTTGGGTCGCTTCTTGAGGACCATGCAAAGGCCATCAAAACCCCACCAGTCATTAATTCCCAGGAAGCAGGCACTCCCTCATTGGTAATTACTTAAATAAACTTCCCTTTCGTGGTGTCTGAGCCACGGCCTTTCCTTCTGACACGTCCCAAGAAAGCTTTCTTTAAGGTAAGACAACACAAGGGTTGTGGACACGAGCTGGGCTGCACCTGACTAAACACTGAGCCCATGGGTGATGGCCGGATGGCTTGAGTGGGATTTCACTGCCTTGCTCCCCAGTCCAGCACAGCCCCTTCCAGCTCACAGCAGAACAGCCCGAGTAGGATTTCCCCTTATATATGCAGCGTGTATCCTTCATGCAAATCTGTCTCATAAATCACTGCATCCCAGGTGCACCACAGAGTAATTTGTTAGGAAAATACTGTTCCAACCAAAGGATACAGCATACCACAGTGGCCATTAGGAGGGGCAATAACCAGGATAGGGGTGACTTGGAAACCTGACAGCCTCTGAAAATGATTCATCCTGCCTGACCTTAAATCTTAGATCCTGACTATTGCAGACGGAGCCGCCTTCGCAGGCAGGAAGCATCAGTCATGGCCATCACAGTATCACAGCATGTTAGAGATTGGAAGGGACCTCGAAAGATCATCTAGTCCAATCCCCCTGCCGGAGCAGGAACACCTAGATAATGTTACACAGGAATGCGTCCAGGCGGGTTTTGAATGTCTCCAGGGAAGGAGACTCCACAACCTCCCTGGGCAGCCTGTTCCAGTGTTCCGTCACCCTCACTGAGAAGAAGTTTCTTCTCAAGTTTAAGTGGAACCTCTTGTGTTCCAGTTTGTACCCAAATGTTCATATCCCCTCCCTGCCCATGGCTACAGGACACATGAGGACCCCCAGCTTAAAGAACTTGGGATTTGGGTTATTAGCTACCCCAAAATAACCGAAACAAGGGGCATTGTACACAGAACCACTCTGCTTTCTGCAACTTCACTAACAAACAGCTGCAGCCCGTGCTTATCTCACCTTCATGGTTATGAGAAAGATCTTACTGGTCTCAGTGATTTATGCTTCTATCAGCTGAGATCCTGATCTCAAAACTCCAAGAATATCTTAACTTCTGCTGTGCCATATGATCACGCTATCTCTGATACAGAATTCTACCCAGACATCTCAGTTTGCTGCAGCTAATCCAACAATAACCCAAGCAGCTCCAGTTCTCACATGTTTCCACAGTATTTAGAATACTCCCAAACTGCTTATTCTTATCTACAGATGTCAGGAATACACTTTGCCAACCAGACCTTTGACCCACTTCCATGTAAAGATAATGTGAAGTTGCATGCAAGCACAGGACTCGTTTCCAGAGGAGGCAGCATGAAGTTACCAAAGTAAAGATCCGTTTAAGTTAAAAGTTGAACAGTTTTGCTGTGGCAAGAGAAAAAAATCTCAGGATCTCAGAGAGTGCAGGGAGGAATATTGTACTGAGCTGAGGAAATGGACAAGCAGTCAGGCACAAAAACCTTCCTACAGCTCTGACGAAGAAGCAATGAACTTAAGCTCTTGTAGAGCTTAGCTTAAACCAAATGGATAGAAAAAGGAGACAAATATGGAATTAAGATATTTCCCCTCTAACTGTATTAACTATAGTAATGGGGTGACATATAATGGCAAAAGAAATCTTAATGTGCGTAAGAAAATACAAACTAGAACACCACATAGGTTGAGCACTTCAACAGCATCCCAGAAATAGACATTTTAGACCATTTAGACCACATCACAGGTATTCAAGACTTTATCCATGTTCACCACAGCCAATAGTTGCTGTCAGGCAACTGCAGAAGACATAGAATGGTTTGGGTTAGAAGAAACCTTAAAGCTCCTCCAGTCCCAACCCCTGCCACAGGCAGGGACACCTTCCACTAGAGCAGCTTGCTTCAAGCCCCTGTGTCCAACCTGGCCTTGAACACTGCCAGGGATGGGGCAGCCACAGCTTCTCTGGGCACCCTGTGCCAGCGCCTCAGCACCCTCACAGGGAAGAGCTTCTGCCTAAGAGCTCATCTCAGTCTCCCCTCTGGCAGGTTAAAGCCATTCCCCTTGGCCTTTCACTATGTGCTAGTCCTTCTCCAGGTTTCTTGTAGCCCCTTTAGGCACTGGGAGCTGCTCTAAGGTGTTCTCCTCTCCAGGCTGAACAACCCCAGCTCTCAGCCTCCTCTGGGCTCACTTGAGCAGATCCACATCCTTATACTGGGGACCCAGAGTTGAATGCAATAAAAAGCTCCATAAACAGCCATGGTAAAAATGCATCAGGAGCTCAGAGTAGCTCTTGGTGGGTTTCTGGCCCTACAGTGCTGGATTTTAGCACTGCCCATACACATTTATAGCCCTGAGGTGGTTGAAAAGGACTGACCAGGAGCAGATACAAAGGGCAACATGGCACTGCTCAAACACAACCGCCTACCAACTGCTTTACGCAGCTGAAGCATGGCAACAAGCATCCTCCCAAGCAGCCCATGGCTGGCACGTACTGCCAGACAGAAGGATTTCTGCCCTTTGGTCTGTTCAATCCAGCACTTATCAACACTCTGGGCCAGTTGATGTCCACCAGACACCACTTTTGGTGCTGGCATTCCCCGGGGAGTTCTTGGTGCACTCCTAGGTTCCTTGTTAGGTCCAGACAGGCACAAAACGCTCAACCCAGAGTCCAGGAGGGAGCAGATTTGCCCAAAGACACGCCGAGGACAGGGCTCCCTGCCATTACTAAAGTGCTTTGACCCCTGCCCTCCTGGAATGAAACCAGCCCCTCAAAGCTCCCAGTGTGAGGAAGAGAAAACTGCAACCGACTTCAAGTGGGATGGAAAACTCGGAGTTCAACGCTCACAAGCCAAGGCTGCTAATCTTCTTGTCATGGGAGCAGACTCACCCGGCAGAGGGGAATTCCTGCCTTTGACTGGACTAATTAAAGGCATCGAACTCTGCACCCGTTATGGCTTGATGTGCCTTAATCCGATGTGACATTCGCCATACGCGAGGAGCGCCGGCGCGCACATACGGTTCTCATTGCTGAGCGGGGTCTGGCACCCGCGGGGTGCCCCAGCTGCAGCACGCTTCCTCCCCTCGCTGGGCTGAGCTGTGTGGGGTGGCAAAGTGGGCGATCATCCCACCTCAGAGCCACTAAGGTCCCGGTTAGGGGAGAGGAGTGTGGTCTGCCCCAGCGCTGAAAGGTCATTTGAGAAGGCGGGGATGGGATTGGGATTCAAAGCTTTCCTCCAGTGCAATGGAAGTGGAAGGTGCTGAATGAGCAGTACCTGTTTCTCTCCTGTGCAGGCACAGGAACTGTATCTCAGGAGTGCAGAATATTATTCCCAAGCATTTCAAGGCCAGGTTGGACAGAGCCTTGGGGTTGCATGGTGTAGGGTGAGGCGTCCCTGCCTATGGCAGGGGGTTGGAACTGGATGATCTTAAGGCCCTTTCCAACCCAAACCATTCCATGATTCAATGATGGTACACAAGATTGTAATGATCTCACATTAGAGAAGTTTCAAGATGCAAGATGGGTGCTTGGATAGAGTGATGTGAACCATAGATAACACTTGTATTACTCACCTCCTGTCCAGGACTGGCCTCTTGAAGCCCAGGGATATGTCACCACACTCAACCATGCTCAACAGAATCCTGAACCAGCCCTGGGAAGAAAGCTTGGGCAGGGGAGGGCAGTCAGCAGCGGATGAGTTGGGATGTCTGTGCCACAGGAGAACCTGGCTCTGAAGACCTGGGTTGAGACGCAGACCCTGAAAAACAATAAAGCTTTCTCAGTGGCACTGCAAGAAATCAACTTTCCTCTTCATTTATTGAGTGTTCTGTAAAAGATTAGAGTCCCACACCACTATTACTTGCACTGTCAATTAAAAGTGTTGGTCTGCTAGGTCGGATGGCAGCAGGCAGCCTGTTTATATCTGCAGGTCCCAAGTTCATTTCCAGTTAATGATCCATAAAAGGGACTGCAGCATTTCTCCTAGGAAGATTGCTTGGAAGCAACTGATAGACTGCTTAGGCTATGGGAGAAAAAAAGCACTGAAATACTGTCATGAGTTATAAATCAGGCAAAGTCAGCGATGCTCTGTAAGGAGCAGTAATGTTTGGTGCATGCTGGTACCAACGGCTGGTCAGTATAAGCTGCTTCAGAGTAAAACCAAAAAGAGGGTGATTTCAGTACAACTGAAATGCAGAACATGTTCAAATTCATATCTAATAAAGCAATTCTTGTTTATTATTGAAGTACCAATTGATTATTAAAAACACATTTATTGAGGCTGGACCACAAGGTAACAGATCTGTACCTCTGGCATAGTTGCGAAACCTCTGTAAACAGCGATTATTAGAAACAGATTTATTGAGGCCTAACGATAGCATAAGCTGCGTATCAGTTACAGAGCTCTTAAAACCTGATCAGTGTGTTCTTAAGCCCTTTTTACTGAGGGTTTACAGCTCAGCAGTAGGGCTACACGTCTTCATTTGGTGTTGTTAAGCCACATAGAATACCATCTTAATGCTCGTTTGATACTTAATTAAGGTAGTGTTTGCAGGGAAAAGACTTCCCCAGTGAGAACCAGGAAACAACAATCATCTTCCTTCTTCCAACAACACAGATCACAGCCACTATTAGACCTGTTGGTGAATCTTCTCATTGATCTCTGAACCCCTCTTTCAGTGGAGCATGCGGATCAAGGGTGATCTGAGGGTACGACATGCAACGCGCAGGGTTGCATCCACCCCGGTGCCCGATGCTGGGAACACAGTGAGTCCTCCTGCCTACAGCCATGCAGCTCAAACCTCTGCTGGGCTTTGACCAACTCAACAAGCCCTGGTGCTCCACTCTTGTTGTAAATTGACTGCAGTCAGAACTGCAACAACACTAAAACTCAACAGAGACCAAATGCCGCCCAGGAGAAGGGAGCTGAGCATGGTGAAACCAGCACTAGCCACAGCCCGGTGAGCAGCAGGCAGAGGGTACCCCAGATGCGTGGTCCTTGCTTACTCACAGAGAACAAGTCCCATCCCATTGCTCCCTTCATAAATGATTGAAGACTTGCCTGGTGAAGCCACTTTTCCTCCTGTCCACCATTGCCAGTACCCATGGCTCCTGCTGCAGCCACCACATCTGGTACCTCCATCCTGCACACAGAGTACCAGACTACAGCACAGACATCGGAGACTCCCCAGCACCCAGTGAGCCTTTCCCATATCTTGGGATATCTGAAGGAGACTACAAGGATGCTGGAGAGGGACTCTTTATCAGGGACTGTAGCAATAGGACAAGGGGTGATGGGTTTAAACTTAAACAGGGGAAGTTCAGGTTAGATATAAGGCAGAAGTTCTTTACTGCGAGGATGCTGAGGCACTGGCACAGGCTGCCCGAAAAAGTGGTGAATGCTCCATCCCTGGCAGTGTTCAAGGCCAGGCTGGACGGAGCCTTGGGCAACATGGTCTAGTGTGAGGTGTCTCTGGCACGGGATTGAAACTAGATCATTTTTAGGTCCTTTCCAACCTGAACCATTCCATGATTCCAACAGATCATATCCCAAATGCACAACCAGCCAAACAAAGAGGCAGCAGAGAAACTGCAGCCGGAGCAAAGGCAGCGATTTTGCCCAGATCATGCAGAACAGCTGGGGCAAAGCCCAGGGGAGAAGAGAGCTCTGCTCCTTTTCCTTTGCCATGCCTTCAGACCTCCCAGCCTCCACCAGAGGAGGAGGGGAGAAAAGAGCTCCAGATTACTGCAGAACTCCCCTAGCTCCAGTCTCCTCTGTTCCAATGTATATATTCCACTACAGGTGACATCATGATTGCTGGAGTCTGACAGGTGATGCTGTAAAATGCATGAAACCATAAAAATTTCAACAGCAGCAAGCTCCATTGCCGCTACATCTGACAGCACTTAGCTGCCCAGCTAACACAAATATTATAAAAGCACTCGGGAAAGAAATCCAACCTGCCTGACCTCAGTTTTGGACTAATAAACAGTACAGCACGACCAGATTTCACCCACATATCATAAACAGACAGCTTTTAAAGAAACCAAAGCAGGGTGCTGGTAGGTGTAAAGAACTAAGGCAAGAGATGAGTTGGAAGCGGGCAAAGTCGTTGGTGAAGCCGCAGGGCTTTCTGGCACTCCATCTCCCTACCAGGAGGGGATCTGTCTTAGGAACTGCATAACTACAGCTGCAAAAAAATGCTCGCTGGTGCTACACAGCCAGAGCAGGGGTGCCTAAATCATGTCAGAACACCTGATGTTCATTTCTGCCCTATCCACAGGGAAAAAGTGAGTAATCTTGTCTCCAAAAGCTGGACAGTAAGTGAATCCAAGAGAATTATTGCCCTTTCTGTCATCACCCTCAGCACTACATTTGAAAAGGCCAAGGATCCGTTTCCTGTTTCTTTCTGCTGTGAGTCCCTCTCGTCTCCCTGGAGGAGGGGAGCACCTTGCCTTTGCTCTGTGGAAAGCTGCCTCTGAAGGAGGCGAAGGAGGATGCCCACGTGGGCAACAGCCTCCCATCACGACCAAGGTGAGCCAGGCAGATGTGGGTTGGTGGCTCCAGCCAGGGTAGGGGTTTTCAAACCAGACATGATGAAATGGATCTTCAGTTTCCCCAGGAAGAACTGATTTCCATGGGTTATCTGGGATTAGTCCGATACACGGATGGGCAGAAGGAGCTTGTCACCTCCCACCCCAAAAGCTTTCTAAGCAGATGCTGGGAACTGATCCTGGCTGTTCTTAGTCACCTCTCAGAGACACACAAGGTCCAATTTCCAACCCACCCTGCATCCATGCATGAGAATCCCCAAGCATACCTTAGCCCTGGGACTGTCCCAGCACTCAGGGCCACCAGAGCCTGTGCCCAGCAACAGGCACCAACCCACTGGGCATCAGCGCCAATAAGTGCAGCTGGAATCCGATTTGCTGTTAGACATAGCGACAGTGTTGAGACAGGCAAGCAACAGAAGTTACTATAAATACACATATAGCTCCATTAAACCCCCTTTATTCCAATGATTGGAGAACTGTCTCTTATGGATGCATACACCAGAGTGGGAGCGAGCAGAGCAGCAGGCACCAATGGGGCTGCCAGCTCTGGAGCTCTGTTACCAGGCAAAAGGAACAGCAGCATCAAACCCACACTGTTCACCCAGTGATGGGAATCAGCAACAGTGGTCAAACCTTCTAAATGTGGCTTTTGATAGTAAAGGTAGAACTATTTAAACGTCACTTTTTCAACCATTTCAACTACTGCAAAATTCTATCCAGCCTTTTTAATCACAGGTTTCACCGAGCACTTCAGCGGAGAGCGAACAACGATCATGTTCTCACTAAATCAGCACTGTTCTTTCACCATTACACCCTTTGTGTTGAACTAACTAGCAACAGATCAGCAGATTTTGCAGTTTTTCGTTACTGGAACAATATGCATAATGAAAAACATGAAAAGTGCATTCACTGGACCGAGTCGAAATCTTTTTCACATAAATGGGTCCCTATTTTGCAGTCAGATTTGTCAGAATTGACAGCAACTGATGGAAATGTGATGGCTGCAGTGATTGAAAGCAGCTGATTCAGACCAATACAGGACAGCAACTCCTTGGTGAGGAACATCGGGGGGGCAGGACAAGCTGTTACCTGGTAGGTCTTCACCTTTTCTGCTCCTGTTCTTCTAAGTCTCCAGTTCAGCAGCCAGGTCCAGCTACAAACAAACCCAAATCACAGACTTTTACAAATACAAGCAGACATTGAGATGATTTAAGCGTGTCCTTTGCAGTCACCTTCATTCAGAGCCAAGAAGATATTTAGGCACCTAATTTTGGATAAACTAAAGTGGATGTCATCCCCATGGGAAGTTTCCTGCCTAATCCTTCCCTGGATCACATCCCACACCTCCCTGCTGCTTCTCCACTGCAAAATACAGTGGAAAATGCTAACGGGACTTCCCAATCGTACCACTTCCAACTTGGGTTACTCAAGGGCTCAGCTACTCAAATTCAGACAAAGGCAATGAGCTCTCCCCAGCCAGCACAGGAGAGCAGCTCTGGATTAAGTGCTCCCATCTCCTGCTCCAGCCTCCCTGGATCATTCCCAGGGCTCCAGCCTAAAGGGAGCGGAAGCAGCTGCTTGGGGCTCCCTACAGATGATATGGAGCTGCAGGAGTCCCAGTTAATTCGTATCAAGCCAGGAGATGGCACTCCACAACATGCAGAGTAACGCTTTGCATGCCCCAAAACCCTCCCTTTTGTGCCTGCCAAGCAATTCCTTCCACCCACCAGCATCTCTGAGCGCAGCAGGTTGTACCAGGCCCCGGGGAGATGATGGGGAGGTGATGCAGCCACCACCACAGTCCTGCTGCTGTACAGCCCTACACCTGCAGCAGTCCTCAGTGGCTCCCAGCAGCTCTGGTTTGCAACCTCAGAGTCTCTTTCATGCAAACCCCCTTCTTTTTTTTATGGAAGAGGCAAAAAAGTAATAATAACTGATCATAAAAAATCAAAACCGTTTACCTTTCAGGAGGCAACTCAGCACAGGCTATTACAGGGTAATTTGGTACATCATAAACTTTCCTATTAGAACAGAAAACAGGGCTGCTTGCATGAGCTGCCAATTGGAAATAAAATAGTGGTGGGGTCGTGTTCATTAGCACCACTTTTTCTATTAGCTTTGCTTTCCAATGGGGTGGGGAGAGGAGGGGGAT